CAAAATTTCTATTTTCTTTCATTTCAAGGCTTTTGGTAGACCACCTTTACCATAGACGTCAAATAAACGTATTTAGCGGATCTCATATTTATATTTTTTAATTTTTCATCATCTTTTATTTTATTTTTATTTTTCGGCATGAGGCATTTACGGCCCTCTAATCTTACGGCTATCTTCTCAACTGATAGGCATAATCGCTCATATTTAAGTGTTGTGGGAGATTTTTCACCTTCTCAACTGATAAGAAAGAATGGGGGTGTAATATACTCTAGATGAAGTGAGAACCTGACAGAAGGTGCCACACTAGTCTACTCTCGATAAAAATATAGCCTTGTCTTTTTTGTACTTCAAAATATTGTGATAATCACGCAATAAATAAATAAATAAATAAACACAGACTGGAGGCTTCTCATCGTTATGTCTTGTCAATGGTCACGATATATCGATAAAATTGCTGGCTGGCCCTGAAGTTCTTCTACTTAAAGTACATAATATTATGGTTTTACTTGAAATGAAAAACGTTTTAAAGTACATACAGATCAATAATGTCTCAGAATGTCTGGTAATCAGACCGAAATTTCTTTCCTAGAAATTTCTTGCTTGTTTTTTTTAAAAGGTTTCCCCATAGAGTCTCGTTTTCTGTGTATGAGTTGATTCCCTATAAACGCATGTAATACCACTACAGGACTTACACCACCAATTCCAGGTGAAATGACAAAGTTCAACATTCTATTGCTTTTTACATAAATCTGATGAAAACTTTCCAATATGTCGCATGAGCCTGACCAATACCAAATGTCTAATCAACGAATTCAATAGATGATAAACATGACAATTTGAGTTAGGTAAATGAAAAGGAGACATATGTCTGTACAGGGAACAACTACATCTATTTTCACCTTAATTCTTCCGCATCTAAATATCTTTATTGTCCAAAAATCTGACATTTGATATCAAATCCAATTCTAGTCCAAAAAAGACCTGCGAAAACGTAAAAGCGGAAGAAAAGGCGTGGTCTAAAATATCAAAGACTAAAGTCGCATGCAGTCATTGGTGCAGAATTGTTTTCGTGGTCTTAGTCCGTAAGGCCTGGCCTGAGCACCGTTGCCTGGCTTCACTTCACGTAGCCTACAGTGAGTTACATAAGGCCGGCCGATCACCTTGTTTGTAACATAATCTCCACGGATTTCAAGTCTTATGACTATATGTATCGATATATATCTATATATCAGATGACATCAATCAGACGACACGACCAGGTATATTGGTATATGATTGATCTTCGATTACATTAATATATCAACCAACTCGTAATCAAAATTCTTAAAATATCTTTACATAGATTCAAATATCCTAATCTCATGACGTCATTATCATGTGACAACAAAGGGCGTGCAAGCCACGCGCTTCGACTAGATAGGAACTGAATGGCACAAAGATAACAATTATCAATGACCTTGTTTGACCTACTATAGAGGTCACAAGGTCATGTATATCAATCTATATTTGTATATGTTATGTAAATACTACACTGCAGTGCATATTTTGATAAACATTATGAGGGTAATGGCATCAAGGACAGATTTCTTTTCATTTTTAGATAAAATTAAATATATTAACATATGTTTGAATTTTCTGTACTTTTTGAAACTTGTAAGAGTGCAACTTAATTAGCGATGCTGATAGCATTTCATTAGCATAACATTTCATTTTATTTCATTAGCATATCCTTTCATTAGCATAGCCTTACATTGGTACAGCATTTCATTAATATAACATTCCATTAGCATAGCATTTCGTTGGCTTGGAATTTAAAAAAAACAAATATAGCGTTTCAAGTTAGCCATAGATCAGACAGAGAACTACTCTTATTGAAAAATCATACGATCAGAAGGCAACTGATTTCATGTGATAAGGATAACTTATGCGCTTTTAGAGGAATTAATTTCCACTGTTTGTGGGGGGGCGGGGGGCATGGCCCAATGATCCACCCCCTAAATAATCACTGATCAGAGGGATAATTTCTTACATTGGTCGTCAAAAAAAGATTACCTAATGCAAATGCAAAAAATAGTGAATCGTTTATCACGCCATGACAAATATCCCCGGCCGTTTATTATACTGCATGTATACTGCACTATGACTGAGGTATCAAATATCATTGTTTTGATGCGTGTCTGTATCAAGAGAAATATTTCACAATTTTTGTATTTTGGACTTATGAATGATATTTAAATTATCTAGGGTTTGATCGGTCACAAGGGACAAAATAACTGAAAACATCAAAGCTATCTTTTACCCTTGTTTGTAAACAAACACTGAACTTTGTGTTATGATTGTCATCTATCGAGCCCCTACATGTAACCCGTACCAGTGGCCGAGTGATATTCTAAGGGTATACTTATCATCATATGACGATGAAGTATATATGTAATGTACCCACAACGCAGTCCCATTTCTTGAACCCTTGTGAAATTCTTGAAAGAGTTATGCAAGAAATAAATTCAGTACTTGATATCTAGAAGCAATATCAAAATGCTATGATGGAGCTAGTGGTCTAGAAAATATCACATGACCACACAGAACGATACAAGCATTTTGAGTAATTATCCAGACAGAATCACCGAATTTATAATAATAATAATAATTTGTATACAAGGATAAAGGTCACAAGGTACATGTTAAAGATTATACATTGAAAGGTTTGTATATGTAGGTTAGGGGCAGGTAATGCGACCTCCGTCAGTATCTTATATCGCAGAGATTTGTGAATGATTTGGTTGGATTATAAACTAGTGAATATAGCCAATGAGAGCCCTCGGAAAAATACTGATTTTGGCATAAGGCGTTTGCTCAACTTTGGGAGAATTCGAACCACCATCTCTAGTGAATTCTTGAATTCAACTTGCTAGCCATTTAGTTATTCCACTGCCACAAAAAGGCATCGTTTCAACCTAACACTGCCAGGAATTAGTCAAATGGATGAGCAATGTTGAAGTTCCATTTCCGAAAGCTAGGTCTCTACCAAGTTCAGTGACCGTCCTGATAACTACTATTAGAAGTAGGTCAACCACCTACGTCAAGAGAACGGAGTCATCTGCTTGAAAGTTGCTCCAGACCTACTAAACCTCGCTGATAAGACACACAAATAACACGATATTTAAAACAAGGGCATTTAGAGATACAACAGGGAAAAATACAAATAATTACATAAGATATTGTAATAATATGGAGTTTTAGGTCCTCCTTGGGGGTGTGGTATGGACACGATGGGTCCTCCCCATTTCTCAGAAAATAACAAAAAAATGACCACCCCAAATACCTTAAATGCCTGATGCAGTGAGTCTTCATCGGCAGTGTGGCCCCTATCCATCAAAACGCAGCTGTTCTGATAACTCACTATTGGAAACTGGAGATTCTGATTGGAGGATATGGTGTTACTGTCTTCAATGCGTAGAATACAAATGACCTTGTACGACAATTCTTGATATTAAAGAATGAAAACTTTACCAAAATATACAATATAGCGAAATATTTCAAGAAACGCCACTGAATTTTGATTTTCGAAATTGGAAACTGGAGATTCTGATTCTGACGCGGTATTTAGATAATTGCGAAATAAAGCTCTGATTTCATGGAAATCCTAGAAAATATTTCGTACAATCTCTTTAAATGGTTTCGGATTTAAAGGAGGTTTTTTTGTGTGCATCGGGGAGACTGATAGCATCAATAAGCACCATTCCAATTCTCAAACAGACATGTGGTTCCTGCAATTCCAATATTAGTAAGTGCTTGATGACGTCACTAATCGCTAAGGGCCTTATGTGATAAAGCATGAATAGTGACTTGTAGGTTTGGTGGAATTGTAAGAACCACAGGCGTCTGATTGAAAATTGGATTGCTGCAAATTGTTGCTATAGTATAAGTCATTCTGATACAGATACATTTTTAGAAAAACCTCTTTCAATCACTTTAAGGTTACAAAGAATTTTACGAAATACCTTTTCCTGAGTTATATTCAATTCATAAAAACTTCATCTATTGTAAGTATTATATACATATTATATTTCAAACATTGAAATTTGACTGCTTTACGGAAATACTTGTACTTCATATAACAATGAATGTTTTTAAATATAACTTCCCTCTTAGTTCAGTTCAAACCGGATGTACTGGTGTCTCATCCGGGTTCTTTCATCGTTAGGTGTAACAATCATCATGTGTACGTTTGTCTTCCTTATCGTCTGGCACGGATATTGACAATTTACCCAAAAAAATGTTTCTGACTTTGCCATACTAAACGTCTTATCTGAGTGATACAGGAATCGTTTTTTATATCAGATTATACAGGAATAATAGTCGGTTTAGGTGTAACAAACATCACGATATATATCTTTTTCTTCCTTTGATCAAGGAAATTTATAATTTGCACATAATGACACCTTGCTTTTCCAGCGCAGAAGATTCTGCTCATATTGGCACATAAATTTGTCATTCTGTCCATGTTATCTTGAATGATTAGGTTTTTCATATTTAAACATTTACCTGATGCGGGAATTGATACCTTCGGATTTGTAAACCCTGTCTGTTTTGCAGGTAAGATGGGCTGATATGGAAAAAGCGTCTAGTCGTTCGGATGGGACAATAAACCGAGGCCCCGTGTGCTGCAGACTGTGCACGTTAGTTGCCGCTGTCATGACAAAATTTCCCTCATCGCACCCTGCATGGCGTTGCCCGGCTTCATTAGCCCACATGGTACAGAAAAGTAGGTCGTAAAACTCCATTCTTTTCATTTCATGTATCTGAGGTTGCCAGAAAAACGCACTTTCCCCCTCTACCCCCCTACCCCCCACCTGTCAAGGAACCTTTCTGACGTGATATGTTTTTATTTGTTTATGAATATTTTGATAAAAAACAATTGATTTTTTTTTACGCCGTACTTCATACCTAAACATAAATGTATGGGCTAGATATAAATCTAACTGATTTAAAACGATCACTTAAGATAAAGGATTCCCTAAAAAATGAACAATAAAATTGTTACAATGACGTCATATATTTTTCAAGGACATTGTCGTGCACACCGCCTATTGTGTAAGAATTGCGACTTACAAAAAAACAGAGACAACAATAGATGTTACGACCCAATTGTTTTTTTACCTGTTTCAATGACCTGAAGTTATAACTTTATTACCTATACCTGGCTTGTTTACCTCTATAGTTAGATGAAAATACGTGTTAAAACACATTTCTGAATTGAAAATAATGAAAAATTGTTATCTGTATATAAGAAGATGACATTACTTGTTACAAATTAATTAAAACCAAGTAATAATGATCCAAACCGTAAAACGAATCTCGAAATTCAAAACAACATATCGGTGAAACCAACTTCATGGCAGATTTATCTGGATTTGTAATGTTCAACAGCCATATGCAGGTAAAAATACGAACGCAGCATTGTAAGAAATCGAGACAATTTGATCAAAGGATTATCTCGAGTCGTTCTGAAGATCTGTACCTCGTCTGTTCCTCATTGTATTTTCTACTGTATCGATAATGCCGCACCGGGCGCGATATCTCATCCATTCGTTTATTGTGTTTTCTACAGTATCGATAATCCCGCACCGGGCGCGATATCTCATCCGTTCGCTTATTGTATTTTCTACAGCATCGATAATCCCGCACTGGGCGCGATATCTTATCCATTCTTTCTTGTGTTTTCTACAGTATCGATAATCCCGCACCGGGCGCGATATCTCATCCATTCGTTTATTGTATTTTCTACAGTATCGATAATCCCGCACCGGACTCGGTATCTCATCCATTCGTTTATTGTGTTTTCTACTGTATCGATAATCCCGCACCTCGCGCGATATCTCATCCATTCGTTTATTGTATTTTCTACAGTATCGATAATCCCGCACCGGACTCGGTATCTCATCCATTCGTTTATTGTGTTTTCTACTGTATCGATAATGCCGCACCGGGCGCGATATCTCATCCATTCGTTTATTGTGTTTTCTACAGTATCGATAATCCCGCACCGGGCGCGATATCTCATCCATTCGTTTATTGTATTTTCTACAGTATCGATAATCCCGCACCGGACGCGGTACCTCATCCATTCGTTTATTGTGTTTTCTACTGTATCGATAATCCCGCACCTCGCGCGGTATCTCATCCATTCGTTTATTGTGTTTTCTACAGTATCGATAATCCCACACTGGACGCGGTATCTCATCCATTCGTTTATTGTGTTTTCTACAGTATCGATAATCCCACACCTCGCGCGATATCTCATCCATTCGTTTCTTGTGTTTTCTACAGTATCGATAATCCCGCACCTCGCGCGATATCTCATCCATTCGTTTCTTGTATTTTCTACAGTATCGATAATCCCGCACCGGACTCGGTATCTCATCCATTCGTTTATTGTATTTTCTACAGTATCGATAATCCCGCACCGGGCGCGATATCTCATCCATTCGTTTCTTGTATTTTCTACAGTATCAATAATCCCGCACTGGGTGCGATATCTCATCCATTCGTTTATTGTATTTTCTACAGTATCAATAATCCCGCACTGGGTGCGATATCTCATCCATTCGTTTCTTGTATTTTCTACAGTATCAATAATCCCGCACTGGGTGCGATATCTCATCCATTCGTTTCGTGTATTTACTACAGTATCGATAATCCCACACCGGGCGCGATATCTCATCCATTCGTTTATTGTGTTTTCTACAGTATCGATAATCCCGCACCGGGCGCGATATCTCATCCATTCGTTTCTTGTATTTTCTACAGTATCGATAATCCCGCACCGGGCGCGATATCTTATCCACTCGCTTATTGTATTTTCTACTGTATCGATAATCCTGCACCGGGCGCGATATCTTATCCATTCGCTAATTGAATTTTCTACTGTATCGATAATCCCGCATCGGGCGCGATCTTATCCATTCGCTTCTTGTACCGGACCCAGTACCTCGCGTATTCGTTCCTATACTTACTACGCGGTATTTATGAAAGTCAATGACACTTTGTAACCTAAGTGTACCGACAGCACACCTAAAACACATAAAATCACACTAGTAAATATTATGAAGTTTTTGACAATATTTTGATGAATTTTTTTTAATGATAAGTGACATTCGTTTAGTACAAGCCCCGAAGTGAGGGTACGGCTTGAACGGATCGACGTATACCTGCACCGTCTGGCACCCTCGACTCGGCGAAAACCATCTTCGTAACTGCGTATTACTATTTGACGGATTGCCTTATTCTGTGGTGCACACTCATCACATTATGTCCGATTCGTGAATTTGACTTATATCTGCACCATCTAGCACCCTTCAATCAAGAATAACGACAACGTGGTAACTGCGTGTAACCAGGTGTCTTGTTCCATCAACATAACGAAACAGGATGGACCATTGCTTTTAAATCGTGGCATATTAATCTTCATTAACATTGACTCCTTAATGAATGAAATCTTAAATCGTTGGATGGAAAGTTGACAAACCAAGTCGCACAGTTCACCTAGATGTTGCATGGTAAATGGTAAATGAAAAATACAATATGAAAAAATAAATACAGACCCGGTTACTGGGCGGGGGGCAGTAACCGAAAAAACCTCGAATAGACAACTAGTAATTTCGGCTGATGCTCTGGAGAACCCGAAATTTTCGATCAAACCAGCCTAACCCCTCACCCACGTCAATTCTGTCAACTTTGCTTTACTATCGGAGAGCCGCCATATAACTAAAATTGTTATTCGGTGCATTTTTTGAAATGAACAATAAACAAAACTTGAAAATTTCATCTTTTGATCTACGTTTCCGGTGCTTTTATGACAGTCTCTGAAGTAACGTTCCTTAAAACTAGATAGTAAACAACATGAGAACTGCTCATAAACTATTTACAGTTTGTCATAATTGTCAAAGTGCACATCTTTTCAAAACAAAATCTTTACACAGGTGCATAAAAATAAAACTGTAAAATATAAAGGTAACGTCATGTAAGGGTACATATTATATTTGAATATTGATATACAATATATAATATTGAAATTATATCATATTATTCAAACTAACTGCACAAACAATAATCTATCACTAGAGGTTAAGCCTGCACGCCTGTGTCTGTGCTTTCGTAACACTACTTAACCACAATGTTACAACTTAAAATTCTTAACTGTACTGTATGATATATGACCAAAGCGCCATAAAAACAAAACTGTAAAAATTGTATCCCCAATCCTCAATCCTCAACCCTTAATGTATGGCTTTATTTATGGGTAGGTATCTTTAATTGTTTTTTGAATAATGAAAATAAAAATTCCTACACGCCAAAATCGCGTCCAAAGCATGACAAAAAAAGTAAAAGTTGTATAGTATTGTACTCTTCAAACGAGTACACCATCAGGTGTTTCGAAAAGAGTAAACATAGCCTGCTTCTGGCCCGACACTAATAACAATGGTCAGATGGCCTTCTCTCATTTCAAAACTGTACTCTATATTATATTTAGCACTTGGTATTGATGGTCACAGCAAAGAGCACGGCCTTTGAAAATCAAACTGTACCGTATGATATATTTAGGAGTGCTAACAACTGCTAGTTCTTTTAAAACAAAACTGTACAGTATGATATATTTTGAATATAATAACAACTATGTTAAGTGCACCTCTCTCATTAGTATATTAGCAGTTGATATCAATTGCCACTGCAAAAAATCACTGTGCATTTTCTTTGAAATTCGAGCTGAGCCGTATGATATATTTAGAATTGGTAACAATGGTCAAAGTGCGAGTTCGCTCAAAAAAAAAAACTGTACACAATAGTATATTTAGCATATTGTTAGCGAGGTCAATAAATAGTGTACGTCCTGTGAAACGAAGATATTTTTAGAAGAAACAACAATGACCAAAGTAAAAACTGCACTCTATATTTAGAAGTGATAACAATGGTCAAAGTGCACGTCCTTTCAAAACAAAACTTCACTCAAAACTATATTTACCAGATAAGTAGAGTGCACTTGTTTTTAAAATAAAAGTCAAAAATAAAAACTGGACTGAATGACTGACAGGTCTTGTAAACTTGATTCTCCCATTCATAAAGAAAAGTACTCAGTAATCTGTATAGTATGCTGCGGGCAGTTCGTGATAATCTTAATAATTAATCTATCTTCTAATGAACTTTTCAAATTCAATAATTTAATCGATACACGACAATCCTAAATGTTAAATGAGAAACATTTCCAACACTATAGGCTACAGTGTAGGCCTATCGGCTATGTAGTGACCAGAGATAGAAAAAAAAAAAATTTATGGAAGGTTGGTTGATTGGTTGGTTGGTAGACGATGGGTTAACGTTCGCTTCCAGACCAACGGATGCTGATACCGCAAACTAGGTTGTAGTTGGTAGTCGTAGTAGTTGGAAGATGGATTGTTTCAAATTTGATGATTCTGTGCTGTTAGCTTGGTAGTTGATAATACTTTATGGAAGCCGGTTGCGGCCAATTGTACTCTTGACTATCGCACACGACGGAAAGAGTCGGAAAGAGCTAGGAACCGAGAAGGAGAGACGGGGGGAGAAAACAAAGGTACCAAGACATCTCATTAGAAAGCGAGAAGACGAGAAGTAAAATTGGCCACTGCCGGCTTCCATATCTAGGCTACTTTACATAACCCGGAAACGTAATAATGTTCTATTTATCACTCTCTATCGTATTGTTTACTTAAAAATTGTCACATTATTATTTGTTGGTTTGTTTAAAAAAGAATAATGAAATATTTCAGGAAATTTAATAGTTATTATTATACATTTTTACCTCTCGGGTGTCAATCTGAATCATTATATATCAAGATTGAAGCTATTCCATTGGTTGCTATCCATAATGACGTCATAATGACATTTCATTAATCAAACTCTAAACGAGGCTGTCAACGTGTGATGAATGACCTTTGAATTAATTTATTTATTAATACTAATGATACATTATATTTATTGTGTTCCGGATTCTTATTAAAGTTTATTCTTTCGCTTCCTGATTTCTAGCTGCAGGCAAATTTTTTATTTTTAGATACAAACAAATTGAAAGAATTCAAAGATGGAATATAAACCCTCGTTTTGTTAAGATAAATGGCCTACAGATTAAATATTTTCTTTTTCCATGAGCTATAGCCAGATCAACTACACAGGCATAAAGACCTTCGTGGGCGTTTACTTTCTGGCCCTCAAATTAGCCACTGATTGAGGTGAAGCCCTAAGGTACGAAACCCTATGAGGCGGGATGATGTCCCTTGAAACAATAGCATTTTACATCAAAATAAGATATTTCACAGAAATGAAAACCCCACCCCCTAAATACGCCAATAACTGTATTATAGGCTACATATTTCCTGTACTATAAGAGGTTTTATTTGTAAAACTTCATTAAAATTCCACCAATAAAACCATTATCGGATCATATTTCACATTTTACAGCTGATAATCTCTCAACTTTAGTTCAAACATCTACTACAGGCTTCAAGTTACATTTCAGTGTAATTGGGCCCATGGTGTTGGCGATAAATGGTTTGTGGGTGGAGCTTTAATACAATTTCAACAATGTGGGGGTGGGGTTTTAATTCAGATTTCAGATTTTAACCTTACTAATCTGTAATTACACTGATCAAGTTTCAACAATTTGCTCCACTTATACATCACAATGTTCACAATGTTGAAGGGATGGACGCCATTCGTTCGACCAACCTGAGACCCAGAAACTGGAATTTTTAGCTGAGCTAATCAGTAATAGTGTTCACAGCTTACAATCGAAATTAGAGCCTTCAAATCCATGTGTCCAGAATCATCCGCGTTAAAAAGACGACTTGTCTTTTCTTGAGATAGTTTAATGTATATTTGAAAGAATTATGCGATTTTCGTTCATTTGTTGTACTTCTAAAGACTATTTACATATTGAGCACCCAAATCAACCCCTCGACGGTGAACTGTGAACACTATTACTGATTAGCCTAGGTAAAAGAATTCCCGTTTCTGATTTGTCAAAAGAAATTTAAAAGGGAAATTGTACATGCGCCCTTCCATCTATATTATTTAAAGCTATAATGCCTGTATCTAAGAATTAAATCTTAAATTTACCAGAAAGTCAGCAAAATGGTAAATAAAACTCCTAAAACATTCTTGAATGACTCAGCAGTTTTGAAGATTGTGGTGATGGTGGGAACTGTACCTAGTTACGGTTATCAATTAATTACTGATTAATGTTGATCACATGATGTATCACATGACCACAACAAACATAAACAAATATATTGAATTACATTCCTAACAGTTATTTGATCCTATCAAGACCAACATCTATAAATCGCTATCTCATTCTTTGATCACTTGATGTACTTTAGACCACAGACTATGATGGGAAAGGGTTGAAAGCCAACACTGAACCGATACAAAGTATACCAACATGGTCTTGGGTTCA